GCCTACAGATCTATTACAAAACACAGTGATCTAAGTAAGCATGCAAATTATACAGGTATACGAGTACCTAAGTATAAATGCTGCCTACAGATCTAATACATAACACGAAAAGTGACCTAAGTAAGCATGCAAATTATACAGGTATACGAGTACCTAAGCATAAATGCTGCCTACAGATCTAATACAAAGACAATAAACGCACATCACATACATAAAATAACAGCTAAAGGGTTAGATAGGCAGTGATAATGTGTAAGAAAAACCTGAAATCCTTTGATCTTGGGCAATAGTTCATCGAAACGTTCTCAGTGACCCTTTCAAATAAAGCGCCACAGTAGAGTCACATGATATTTTATAACGACGTAAATATTGTTTCAGTGATGTAATGTGCCGTCCATTGATAGTGGCATGCTATGTGCTCATGCTGTGTTAATCCGTACGATGACATGCATTACGCAAGTATTCCCTATGCAATGAATAGAAATGAAATCTGAGACCAGCACTTTGAAAGTGCTGCTTCACGCCGGTAACTAAGCCGTGTAGCTCGTCATGCTTCGGGCTTGGGTTTTCTCGTTATCTTTGCAAAATATTCTTTTAGAAGTCCAGATTACGAAACCATGATATTGAATGCTTAGGTTATTTAAGGAAAGATATATATGTTGATAAGTTTCTAGTCACTACAAGACCGGAGCTGAATATAAAACCATCACCATATCGGAGTAATATTGCCCTTTGATTCATGTTTCAATTCCAATTCCTACTCAGTGAAGTCGACTCATCAGTTTATAAACTCCTGTTTACTCTACGGACGAACTCGCCAGCCAAATCTGATGAACAGGTAATCCGGTCATATCCCTCACATTAGTTTTGTCGTCGTCGTTGTTGTTTTCAATATGTTTTCAAAAAAGTTGTTTAAAGAATTTTTTGTCCATATATCATTTCATTGGTCGTCTATCCTTAGTATTCACTGAAAAATATGCCCACTTGTTAAAACCCTCTGGGATCTAACTCCTCCAAGTTACATCAGGAGAATGTTACTAACTAACAACTGTTCACTTATGAAAGAAAAATATTCTATTTCAACCTCTCTTCTTTTTTCATTTTTTTACAGGAATATAAGACCTGAGTAAAGGTAAGGGTGAGTTTTCTAGAGTTTTCGTCTTGGTGTGTTCATTAAACCCAGTTAACACTTATAATTATGCTATTTCCACGGAAGACTTTTTAATAGTCAGTTTTTACAGGAGGTACTGGGTATGAGGTGTCGGAGAGTGACGTAGATGAGAATGGATCAGTGGTGGATCCAGGGGGTGGTTGCGTGGGTGCCATGGACCCCCCCTTTTGTGAGATCTTCTGAAGCCAATCATGTTCTTTACGCTCAGTAGAATGAAATTGGAACCCCCTTTTTGTAAAGTTAATCTTACCTGCTTTTTCTGCGTGGCGGCCATTTTGGAACCCCCGTTTTTAAATTGCTGGAACGGCCACTGTGGATATGATGAGTAGAATGTGAATGGGAGTGAATAGGTGGTAATATACATGGATGGAAGAATGAGAGAAGGAGCGCAGTAGGAGTAAATGTTATTCTGGCTAAATAAACACCAAGCTTTTTTTGCTGTAGAGTAGATTGCTTAGTATAAAATTTCAAGTGTTTTGTAATATATGTATTTAAAGTTGAGCACTCTGTCGTCTGTTTCCCGTTCTATATCAAGACAATGCCACCAAGATGTCAATGATACAGGCATCTCGTTATCCGGCGGGATGACGCTGATATCAGTTGTCTCTGATCGATTGACTAAAATAACATATTATGTAGAATGAATGAATTACTAGTGATGTAACTGTGCTGAAGAGCCCATTTACTCTATCAAAAAGAAAAAACAGGAAGAGAAATCATACGAAGGATAACGTGGGCCGTCAAGCCGGCGGCTCTTACACAAGCTTTTAATCGATAGATTATCACTTACGCTTTGCTATTTCTAAGCGTCTATATTTCCTTTGTTCTTGAACCACTTGAAAAGCGACATCTAAGACACTCCTGATATTGACTGGCCTTTCACAAGTGCTGTTTTCTCAAACCAACATCTCATTTTCACTAATAGGGATTGAAGAATCGATCGCGAATAATCCGGCTAATTCCCGTGCGAAAATGCTGTTTTTTGCCGTCCAAAGCTTATGTATATTGTACTTTTAATTTTCAATGGTAATTCAAATCTCTTTCATTGTGAAGGTGAAGATAAATCCCGACGGACTTCTCGCACAGAGTCTGAAGAAATAGGAAAACTGGAATGATAAGTGAAAGTGACTTCTGATCATCGATGACCATGCAGCAGCTACTCCTAACGGTATTGGTATTCTTAACCATGACGGAACACCATTTGCCAGAAAGTTTGGAAATAAAACGATACTTGGTTAACGAATATGAAGGTAAAAATACTAATATATATACTGATTAACTTCCCTTAAACGAAGATGTGTATTTGTGTGAACCACTTTTAGTAACGTTTCTCCATTTTTACTGTATCTTGTCAAGAGTTATTATATACTGTGATTAATAGTAGTATACTCAATGAAATGACAAATTAAGGCTGATATGAGAAAACTTCTCACCAAACGTAAAGTAAATGGTTCCATTGCATCAGGAAGTTGCATGGGGGTTTGTAGAAGTTTGTCAGAGCCAACAAGTACGTATGGGGCGAATTTCGATCGTGTCCGTCAATGTAAAACAACATATGAGACACAAGTACACCGCACAGTCACTTAAGGACACTGGGCCATGTAATACTGAAAGTATTTGATGATGATGATTACAATAACTGATTACAACCCTCCTTACACACACACACAAAAAAAAGAAAGAAAACAAAAACTATTTGCGCTGAAAATCTTAAATTAATCGTACATGAACTTTGACTGAAGAGGCTTCTGGCTCATCATAAATCGGCAAAAACTGTGCGATTTGGTGTAAGTCCTTCACTTTAATAGACATCAAGTTTCAATGATCTGGACACCATGACGAGATACGTCAGTACAGCTATCTGTTACGATAATTAATACTCAATTAAAATTCTAAATAACGACCCGTCATACATCAGCTGATGCGTCATAAACATGATACACACATGGCTTTCTGCCTCTTCAAAATCTTTTATTTTTTGACACAAAGAAGTGTTTCAACTGTTTTAAAAGTAGTAGACGGCGATAGGTCCCGGGGGGGGGGGGTACTCCCCTATATTTGCTATACGGGTATGTGCCGCCCTATAGGGTATGGTTTTTCGGCTTTTGGGTCTGGGGTAGGGTATCATTTTTTGACATTCTGTCTGGGATAGGGTATCATTTTWKTCTGGKATAGGGTTAWCGATTTGGTCGTTTTTGTCTGGCGAATAGGCTACGCTTTCTGCCGGCACAAAAACAATAAAGATGTTAGTAAATATTGATTGCAATCGATTGTAAAACCGTATTTTCCGTCTTTTAGTCTGGGATAGGGTGTACAATTCTTAAATTTTAGTCTGGGGTAGGGTATGTAAAATCAAAATTTTAGGTCTGGGATAGGGTCAGGGTTTTGAGGTCCTGGCGGCACACCCCTACCCAAGTTGGGGTGGTAGTGGGGCGATAGGTCTTATGATTTTGACTTCAGCCTATCGGGGAAAAAACCCAAAAATGTAGTTTCTTTTTGTTTCTTGTAGTGCTTAATGATTTTTAAAAAACAGCTTAAAAGCAAAAACACTATTTTAACACACAAATTAACCATGAGATCTGTGCCGAGACCCGAATAACTTTTAAAATCAATATTGATTTTTATTCAATTCCCGTCCATTTCGAGCCTGAAGGCTAAAAAAAAAAGACGAAAAGAAACATTTTGAAACATTTTGAAGAAACGTTTCTGATCTGCTTACATCACATAAACCTACAAGGACTTTACGATCTTTTGTCGAAGCCCTCTTACAATCTCATTTCCTATGGTAAGAGAGCCTTTTCATGCGCAGCCCCCGAGCTATGGAATACTCTCCCTATCAATATCCGGCATGTACTTCTCTTGTTTCTTTTAAAAGGCTTACTTAAGACCTGGCTCTTCAAACAAGCATATCCTGATTAATTAATTAGATTTATCAACATTATTTTTGTGAAGGTTCATGAGTTTTCTTACTTTGTTTTTGATAATTACCTAGTTATCTTCAAATTTTTGTCAAGTTCAATTTTTATTTCTTAAATATTTTTATCCTAGAGTTTACACTGCCTATACATAAATTCAATGTATACAGAATTTATATGATATATGATTTATGACATATTTTTGAGCGCTTATGTACATAGTTTTTATATAATACATTTGTAAAGCGGTGTTGAACAATTTTTATTTCTTAAATATTTTTATCCTAGAGTTTACACTGCCTATACATAAATTCAATGTATACAGAATTTATATGATATATATTGTATAAGAATTTATTATTTACGATTTATGACATATTTTTGAGCGCTTATGTACATAGTTTTTATATAATACATTTGTAAAGCGGTGTTGAACATTGGAATTGTCGCTATATAAAATACAGTTTATTATTATTAATATTATTATTATTATCATTATTTTGAATAAGAAAGAAGAGGGAAATCATTACATCCAGCACAGTCGGATGTTTTCATAGAGCCCTAGAGGCTTAGCATGTCGACTTTGTATCCAGAAATACGTTTCGGTTGTAATTAGTGCACGTAACAACCGGCCAACACTTGATAACCAGGCGTCCTCAATCTCGAACATGGCGGCTAGAAGTTCTTTAATGTAGTGATTAATATCTTGACCGCTTGAAAATGTCGGTGAGATCTGAAGGAAGCTAGTTTTTAAGCCCACCATACAGGATATTGCTGATATGATGTCTATCGTTATATATATATACATAGAAGCAAGGAGAGTAACTTTGTTCCTTTATGTGCTCAGTTATATTCTTACTTGAATACTTCATCTACATAGCGTTTTCGTTTACGATGTGAAAAACTTTATCGATAATCTATAAAAACTATATAAGCTGCATATTGAATAAATTAATTAATAAATTTTGATTAAAAAATAATAAATAAATATATAATAATTTATGAAATAAAAAAAAAAAAACCTGGACACCCGAATAATGGATAGTATATGTAAATGACTAAGAGAAAAAAAATCTAATAGATAACTATTCAATTCTATAAAAACTAAAATTCTTGCATTATCTATGTCATATTTTTTAAGAAATTGAAATTTCTTAATGGTTCTCGCTCCTCGTATACATAGTACTGCGGACCTTATTAAATTTATGGAAAGTTTTACTTTGAGCTAATGAATAATGTGTTGTACTCAAGTTGTTTCTTCTTAGATAGTTTTCATCGTAAATATTTCCCCTATATACGTGTCGTTTACGAACAAACAAGAAAACATACGAACGAATAAACAAAACAAATATATAAAGAAAGCCAAACGAACAAACCATAAAAGCAAAAACAAACAAACATTTGTAAAACATAAAAAAATATACAAAGAGAGAAACAAACGAACAAACGAACTAACAAGAGAACAAAAACAAAACAAACAACAACACAAAACACAAGGAAACAAGCGAATGGACGAACAAGCAAACACAATAACAAACACAACAACAAACAAACGAATAAACACAACAACAAACAAACGAATAAACAAACATAACAACAAACAAACAAACGATCATTTTTGTGGAGCACTGGAAAGTTCTCGATGTGGGCTGATCAAAGGCACTGCACGGCTAATCAACTCAAAGATGGAACTGGAAAAATTTAGCAAGTTAGGTTTCGCAAAACTAGAATCACTCTCGAATCAAGGGAAAGACTAGGCATCGAATTCGAGAATCAGGAGACGAAAGTTATGTGCATAATGATCGCTATAGAGTCGTAAACATTTCCCCTATATACGTGTCTTCCTTGCTACACAGCTTCATTTCCTCTATATGTATATGTCTTTCTTCCTACACAGGTTCACATAGTTGTGAACATTTCCCCTATATGTATATGTCTTTCTTGCTACACAGATTCACATTGTGAACATTTCCCCTATATACGTATATGTCTTCCTTGCTACATGCAGATTCACATAATTGTGAACATTTCCCCTATATACGTGTCTTCCTTAGTTATGGATGAAGGCCGTCTCGCTCTCGCTCTACATAGCTCCATAATTTATACGCAAGTGTCAAATCTTCCAGGAGCATATCGGATAAAGTAACGTGTCGAAGGAAATACTAAGTTATGGGAAAATTAATAGCAGAAGGCTTTGATCACATTGTAAACCCTGACGATGGCTTAGTGGCGCGAAAACTAGGCTAAAAATCTTTAAAGGATGATGAAGACTTCAAAATGATTGGTTCGATGAATGTCTAGATTTCACCCCCAGTGACCGTGTCGTGTACAAAACGCATCACAATTTTTCTCGTAAGGTTTGCCTTAGTCCTTAGTTGTTGTACTTCACCATATGAGATTGATAACAAATYGAGACATCGTCTTCAGTTTTTGGAAATTCTACTACCACCGGTTAAGAACCTCTGAGACAGAAAATCTTACGACATATCGAGATGTTAAAGATGAGTAATAAATGTGAAGATCCTAGGTCAAGATTGACAAAGTCATTCTTACTAGGAGATGGAGAGCCTTGTGTGACGACCATAAGGACAACTGAGCAAGATAAACCGTTGCGTGACAACAGAAGAACAGGAAACAAAGTGCAGCTAATGAAAAGGAGGGAAATTTTTAATCCAGAGGGGCCAGGATGAAAACTGAAATGCAATGTCTCCAACACAATATTAGTCATATACCACATAGCTGCTAGACTCTTCCACAGTCTCTCGCTCGTCCGTTCCGTCTCCACGCTTAGAGACTGTAACGGTACAATGACCGAAAGGACTTATGGGTCCCGAAAACTTGGACCCAGCGTGCTTTGGGAACCAAAATACTCGTCCACAGTCTCTCTCGTTTTCGCCGCCATCTTRAAAATATTGAAACGAGAGAGACTGTGGACGAGTATTTTGGTTCCCAAAGCACGCTGGGTCCAAGTTTTCGGGACCCACAAGTCCTTTCGGTCATTGTACCGTTACAGTCTCTAAGCGTGGAGACGGAACGGACGAGTGAGAGACTCTGGAAGAGTCTACATAGCTGCATAATAACAGTTTTTCTCATAATTGTCATAGATGAACAAAAACACTTGGAGCACCCGATGCTAAGACGACTCGTACATTTAGCAAACACTAAACGACGTGAGTATGTGGTGTACGATATATCGTGTAATGCAGCATATTGTATCAGTAATTGCCTATGCTGGATGCAGCCTATAGTGTGCGGGTATTTCGCAAGACATGTCCCGTGGAATTCCGCATGTACTGTATCAACACGGCTATATGTCCTGTCAAATTCTGCATATTAGTATTTCGTTAGTTAACTAACTCTAATTTTTTGTGTGGACTCACTGCAGTTTCTGACCCAGCAAGAGGATCTCCGTTAGCGATAGACCTTATGATCGCTCTTGACAGTAGAGCTTTACAACAGGGACGACATCAATTCGAACTGCAAAAGAAAATCGCATCGTTAGTCGTAAGTGAGTTTAGCATCTCACCATCAGGGACAAGAGTGAGCTTGGTCTCGTTCTTTCGCCGTCCACAGACATTTTTTGACTTCAGCAAATTTTTGAATAAGGAGTGCACGATCCGAGCGATTAATAATATTAGGTAAGTCCTTGATTGATGATTCTAGTCTTATAAGGTAATTGATTATGATAAAGGAGACGAGGTAAGTGCTGAATAAAATGACACACCTTAAACACCTACCACTCCCCCTACAGTTGATGTCACTTCTGCTAGCGCTAAGGCCAACTTTCAATGTCCCCTTTCGCCGGTGTATATTGTCGCTCTCTCCCCTTGCCCTGCGCAGGCTATGTCCCCTATGGAATGCCCACGAAACAAGACTTGTCCAAAGCATCAGGGTTACTATACTTTTTACGTAAACTGTTCCACGAGGTCTTGTTCACACGAAGGTAGGGTAACCCTATGTACAAATGAGACAAATAAAGGACAAATCAACCAAGCAGACGTACACACAGATAACCATTGAAAACTTTTGAAACTAAAAAAGAAGCGGGAAGCAAAGTGAGTCTTTCCATAAACTACGCAATAACAAAAGACGTCACCATGACCAACTATATTAAAACATTTTTGCTTTATTTACAGGCCAGCAAGTGGACTTTATTCCAGTTCTRAACTCGAGAATGCTTTCAGTGAAACTACTGAAGGCTGGAGAAAAGATGCTTTGAAGATCTTACTCCTCTTTGTCAGCGAACACCAGGGTCTTGGCTCAAAGGTTCATGACTTTGTGGCGCGTTATTTGGAAGATACGGAGGTGTTTGTGATGGCAGTTGGTGCAAGAGTAGGGCTTGATAGTCCTTTGATTAGATTTGCAAGCAAGCCCCGTTATTCGCACTTTATTACTGCTAAAAGCTACTATACAATGATGAAAAAACTCTCAGCTATAAAGCATAAAGGTAATCAGACTTGTACTAAACACTGTTATTTCAAAAATGTCTTAATACTACACATAAAATCAAAATTTCCAAAATACAGTTTCATGACAACGCATTTTACCAGCCTATCATTTTCACAGTCATGACCTAAGTTTTTTGTTACTTAGACGGTGGATTTACGTGGACTGACATCTCTGACGTAATTCGTTCTTAAACAGGAGTAAATAAACGATGTAAAAGACAGTTTACCTACGACGAATGTGCACGTCGGTGCGTCTGTAAAGATGGAGAATTGAGCCACTGCTATCGGATACGTAAAGAATTTACCATAATGCCTTTCGAAGAACGTGTGCGGTATGTTCAAACCATTAAACAGGCCAACCTTGACACAAAATATAGAGACGAATTTTCACGATTATCAAATATTCACACGGAACAATTCTTTCATGGAATTCATAACGTTAGCTTCTTTCTCCCGTGGCATCGATGGTATTTGTACGAGTTTGAAAACTTTCTTCGTCAAATTGACTGCAGAGTCACGATCCCTTATTGGGACTGGGCACGAGCTGCTGAGACCATTTGGCGGGAAAACCACGCACGCGATATCTGGAACCCAGGTCCTCACGGTCTTGGCGGAAACGGAAGGCGGGAAGTAGATGATTGCGTGACGGAAGGACCATTTCGAGAGGGTCACTGGTATCAGAGCAAAAGAAGTGGTTCTGGCTGTTTAAAAAGAAGATTCCAATACGACAAGCAGCCACGGGATAAAACAGCTATCAGAAAGACTATTGCTTCGAGGTTCAGTGATTTTGAACAAAATGTACGCAAGGTCTTCCACAATGAACTTCATTGTTTAATTGGGGGTACGATGGGTGGTAAATCTTCGTCGCAGTCCCCCGAGTTCTGGTTACATCACGCATTTCTGGACAAGATCTGGGTGCATTATCAAGAGCGCGGTGATAAAGAAAGGAATGAATATTACCCTCAAGTAAAGGACCATCTCCCTGGCTGTCCATCCAAGTGGCGTCCAGGAGATTTCGTACATGAAACAAACTTACCCGGTTGTGTGGGAATCTCGTACGAAGAGATTCAGGATCTCCAAGAAGTTCGGACTGAAGAAAAAATCAAAGCGTCTTACGATGAAACATTTAGGTATAAAGATCTGGTATGCTACGAGGATAGAGAAGATTAAAGCTACTGACTATTTAGATAGAATTGGCAAATAACTAGGAAATAAATTGTTTTCAACCATCGATTAATTAACTGATTAAAATGGAACACAAGTAATAATGGTGCCATGTACAAGAACGTATTCTCGACTTTCACATCCCCATAATGCCTTGCGTTTTTAGGGGTAACCAATCAAAAAACTGTCCCAAATTRAAAGGTTTCTTAATTGAATTTGTACTATACCTGCTTTTATCTGTACAATACTGATTATCAGTTTATTCCAAGTTATTTTTGCGTGTATAGATCATCAAGAGTTTTGGTCTTACAAAAAAGTATGGACTTACGAAAATTTTTTAAAAATTTACCTTAAACGTCTTCAAGCTTCTATCTTTTTCTGTTTTTTACGTCTTCATTTTATATTTGGATACCAAACAAGGTATTTTCAACATTGTCTGATCAGCCTTCAGCAAAATAAGTGGGTTTTTACCCTCTGGTTACCCGCCAAAGTAGCAAAGGATTATGGGGATGGGAAAGTCGAGAATACGTAGAATAGAAATAGATCCTTTTAGTTTGGGTAATGTTTTCCCGTTTCAGACCACGTGTCATTCTCTAGAGAAACTGATTTCTTTGTTTAACGGTTGCGCATTAAAAGACACATAAATAACAACTAAAGCGAATGACACGTGGTATGAAATGGAAAAATCATTACACTCACGCTAAAAAGGTCTACTTATCTGTGACTAGTTCATATTGAAATYGTTTTCAAGTTTTTGGCTCTATAAGCAACCATCAAATCTAGTATCTGTGCCTCGAGACTAGATTTTTACAGTCCATATAAAACATCTTCTAAGCGCTACCCGCTATCACAAAGGTTGTATGTGCTAGCTTTATCCTTAAGATCAGACCATGATGCTCTTCTCATATCCTCCATCTCTCATCCTACCCATCCCCCCACCCCCACTCCCCAAACATACATATATCAACTAGAGCTTCATTGGTACGYGCTGATCGAGACAACAGTGCAGCAGGAAAATCAGATAATAGACTGCCATGAATCAAATAAATTGTTTGGTGCTTTACTCTGATTGACGGCAGTGTATTGCCCGATTTCCCTGTCGTGATTGTAGTCTTGATGCGCGCATATGTTTACCGCGCATAGCAATGAAAATAGTGGTAAATATTACCATGTTTTCTTTTACCTAACACAAACGCCTTCGTGAATGCTAGTTCCAGTTTGAAGAATATTTCGTAACACCAGAAGTAAGCTCAAGACTAGCGATTCTTTTTGGTTATAATATAATCAATCCCAAGACAAGAATCACTTGGAATCTGTCATAACTCCCATACCTCGGATCAAAATGTAGCGTGATCTTTATGAGGCTTCAAGTTACGCCTGTTTGGTAAGCCAACTCGCGTTCTGTGCCGACCCAAAAACCAAAGAAAACTCCAGCTTTGAATAGCAGATATTAGAGTTACACTCTATTGTTTTCAATTAATAGTTTTAAGTCGAGGCATTGGTGTCAATAAATGCAGCAATTGTTTAAAGGCAATACAATGTAAAACTATTCTCTGTTGCTCAGGGTTAGCCTCGGTTTTGCGTAGAATATTCATGTGATTTACGGAAAGTCCGTGGAATTTCAAAGCATGAATTTGTATTGTCGAAGCTGTGCATTTGTCATTTTACCGTTGGTATTTGTGAATATTTTGACGATAAAATAAGGCTAACCCTGAGTACATGAGTCTGTGATCAAGAAAGACAGCGGTAATTTGGGAACTCAAAAAGGTCTGTGCATCTTCGCCTTTTCTTTGAGCATTGTTTCTTTCGTTTATATCAATATATGGTTATATATTAAAAACAATGCGCAACTAAGAAAGCGACGCGGGAAGCATACGCCTTTAATTTTCTTTTCTGTTTTATATTTTTCTTGTTTTTTTTTTTATTGCTCAAGTTGTTTCAAGGCAGCTTTATTTTTACAGACAATTTTCCTGGATTTTTTACAGTATTTTTTATCTTTCTTAAAGTCTTTTTTTTTTTTTAAATAGAGATAAGAGATATAAATGTTTTGAGCCAATTTTCCTGGATTTTTTACAGTATTTTTTATCTTTCTTAAAGTCTTTTTTTTTTTTTTAAATAGAGATAAGAGATATAAATGTTTTGCTCAAATTTCCTCGCCGGGTTGGCAAAAGTCGACTAACTTCTAAATCCTCATTGGATCTAGAAGGGAATTTAGTTTATGTAATCCCAGTTACCCTACCAAGTTGTGTAGTTTTGGTTCGCTTGTTTGTCCTTTTGTCTATTTATCTGTCTGCCTGTCTTTCCTTCTCTCGATGTCTCTGTCTGTCTGTCTGTCTTTCTCTCTGTGTCTCTGTCTGTCTGTCTTTCTTTCTCTCTGTGTTTTTGTCTGCCTGTCTGTCTGTCTTTTGCGTGCACTGTGCTTGTTAAGACGATCTCTCAGTAAACACCACATCTGTACATATATAAGGAGTAAAGAAAGGCATTCCCCTGGTTTTGATCTTAGGAGATCCAAGAGGATCGGCCAAACTAATTTTGTATTTTTGAAGAACAGACGCTACAACGATCCTCGTGATAGCCAAAGCATATCGATAACCAAGGCACTTTCTAGGTCCCATACCAAACCGGAAGTACGAACCCGGAACCTGACGTGTGCCTTCGGCGAAACGTTCAGGTTTGAACTCATCCGGGTTCTTCCAATATTTTTCGCTATAGTTGAGAGAGTGAGTATCGACGCACACTGGTGTCTGTTGGAAATTGAGATAAATAAGTTAGTTAGCTTGCGGTGACGGCTCTGGGGGGATTRAGGAATCATATCAATGTCATAAATGTGGTCTTGGGAAGGAGTTGGGGGAGATAGTGCATTGGAAACGAGATGAAAAAACTGCCTTATATCCATCCACTTATGTCAGTTAACAATAGCTTTCTGCACCTACATTTTACTGAAGAATTCAGAAAGTGTCAGAATTTAGTTACAAAATCCTCACCCCTTGTGGTATGAAGTATCCTGCCATGTCCGTCAACGGTTTAACGGTTCTTTCTGGTAAACTCAACGCCAGTGCAGGGTGCATCCGGGCACTTTCCTTCAGCACCATTTCCATATAAGGTAATCTTTTATCAAGGTCTTGGAATATCGAAGGATCTTGACCCTCGAGGGCTTCGTCTATTTCATTTCTTAGTTTTGATTGGACGTCGCTGTGACGTGCAATGTCGGCGAGTGCAAATGAAGTGGCTGCGAAGCTGACATCGATGTTTAGGAGAAGGATTTCGTCTACTGAATGAAACAGCTGCAAGACGGAAATTAAAGCCGTCAATATGGTTAAAACCCACTGTTTTCCTGTTATCAATTACCACATGTCATTTTCTTGAGTATTATTCATTTCTCGCCAATAGCAAGAGAAGATATATTACTTAAACAAAAATAAAACAAAGAATCTTGTTCTCAAGACGAGTGGAATAAACTTGTACACTTTTGTGAAGTTCATGTTTGCTCATAATTATATCTCGCTGAGTGTGAATAAAGTTATTCTAATCCTAAGTGGGAAAACAAAACGCCTAAATAGGTTTTCTACGGAATGAAATACGATGTATTGGGTGTGGCCTCTAGGGGTCATAAGCACCCCTGTACTTCTCTCTYAAATGCATTCTCCCCAAATGGCTTCCCTTGTTCTCAAGGGGATGGTCTTGGGTCTAATAATTGGATTTCAAGTCTTCTAACTACATATTTATATTGATAAACATGATAATAGAACACACCTCTTGCTCTTTTAATTCAAGGGAATTAGACCTCAGCTGCTCCATCATGACGAAGAACAGCCCGTCACCAGAAGAGTTCAGACGTCCCTCTTCATACTCCTCAAACAAAAACCTGTTGAAGTCTGCCCATGTTTTGTTAAAGGACTGTGCTTGTCGATTAACTGAAGTTGGTAGTTTGGAATAAAATGGTAGTTTAGTCTCACCAACGTTAAACAGGTCAACCGTGTCTTGAAGCTGATCGCTGATCTGTAGGATTCTCGTGAAGTGTTTCTGAAGAACTTCTTCTCCGTAAACTATTTGTATCAGTACGCGAAGAGTTACTTTTGACAGGCCTTCTTTCATGAGGTCTACTGGAGAGTTCTTGGGAACCTTTGCTATAAATGATCTGCATTCTCGACCAATAATCGGCAGGACACTCATGACCATACTCGAAGTGAAATACTTTTCGAAAGGTCCTCGGCATCTCTTCACTTCATCTCGTCCATGACTGTTTGCCAGGCAGTCACCCAATACTTGCTTCCACACACATCCTAAGCTTGTGAAATCTCTGTCTCGTTTGTGAGAGTAGTGATCAGTGTAGAAACTGCGAATAGCCTCTGCATCGGCTAGTAAACTAGAAAAATGACGAAGAAAAATGTTATGATGTATGGAAGAGGAAGACAACAAGACATGAAGCACTTTATAAGGAACGAAAATGGTAGTGAGCACTTTCTGTACTTGTCTGTAGTTGTCAGTTCTCCCCGAAGCCGTTCTTAGTGCATGTCGTCACGCAACGGGAGGGAGCGTTGTGTGATGACACTAAGAACGACTGCGGGGGAGACTAATCAGGGAGGTACTTCGAAGAATTCTTTGTCGGTCCCTAGACCATATCTTGTAATATCAAACCCTTTTTATTCCGTTTTATTTTAGTTACTTGCGTGCGCTAAACTGCTGTATGCTGTATCATATATCATGGAGTCTTGTGCTGGGTTCACTGTGTTCCTGCCACAAAGGCGGTCTTGTGCTGGGTTCACTGTGTTCCTGCCACAAAGGCRGTTAATTCATAAAAGAGTCTATCCTAGATTCCATATCCCAACATTATCCAATAAATTCGCTAGTACTCGTTTGTTTTATTTAGCGTAGATATTTTATGTTTGCAGAGCCATACGCGATGGCAGCCATGACAGGAGGCAGGAACAATTAAATCTGTCCTAATGTCTGGTTTACGTGAGAAAGAATTCAGTTCCCCGGCAGGATAAAAAGACTCAGTATGTTGTGCCTCCTGTCATGGCTGCCATCACATGATGGTGCAAAAACTCTATAGGATTCTACTTACACGATAGGTGTCAAGCAGTGCCAAATGTAATATACCGGCCCGTACTTCTTACTCAATGGTCGTCCAAAGAAATTTACTTGGTTGATTTGTCCGTAGGGTAACTTTGGCGGCTCGCCCTTCATTCTCTCTCCTTTGCTGTTTCTCCATGGTACGCACCAGTAGATAATCAAAAACTAKAAATAAGAAAAATCATAGAATGTGATGTTGAATGGCTTTCACGAGTCCACGGGCATTCCCTCAAAAAACCGCTGAAAAGGGCAAACGTTTGATGGGTCATGATGGACAACTTAACCTTTGGGCGAAAACCAAAATTTGTTTTTGATCTTTGGAAAGAGCACTTAAAAAAGAATCTAAAGAAAAATGTTATGTAATAGGAATTAATAATAATTAATACCTTATGAAATTGAAATTTCGTAACACTTTAATTTCGTGTGACTTTCGTGACGTCAGACCCATGTCAAATGTAATATATGATAAAGAAATATATCGAATTTGTCCGTGCAGTTGCTGTAACTATTCGTACGATTCAAACTTAATACTAAGGATTGAAAATCTGAAATTGTTTTGATAGTTGAAAAGTGTGGGTTTCGTGAGATGATAGCCACCAGAGCACTGCCTACAGTACCCGATATGGTCTACTAGTATTGCAAGTAAATCTTTGTGAAACCCAAAATCAAAATTGCTGACACACACAAAAAAAAGCCGGTCTTAGCTTGTCGAATATCTTAATCATCACCTGAAAAAAATCGCAATAGAAAAGAAAATTTGACTTACTTTAATAACACTTTTTAGAAGTGGCCAAGCCAATACAAAAGTGATGAGTGTAGCCAGTAAACCATAGCCTACTTCTGCCCGAAGTTCCATCACAAAGTATTCAGTACACAATCTCTATGGTGTTCTTTGTCGAACGATTTTCTTCAGCGTTTGATTTAACATCCGCTGTCATCTGTCTTTTTAATCCTATTTGAAACCCCATAAATTCTGCTGACGCTTAACGGGGCTTTTTCGGGGAAACTTTTCATCGCGTGCCACTCGTGATCACAGGTCATCAGACACGTATTACAGATGGATTTAACGATGACGGCGAATGTTTCGTAATTTCATCGAAAAAACGGAAAATGTTCTTATTTATTGCCTAACTTGCGGTATCTGGACTGGCCTCTGCTTGTCATATAGAGTTATGTTTATTGAGTGTGGCTATTTGTCGAGGGTCAAGGGTGATATGTTTGTAAGGTCTAGATCATCTAATCCTCTAGTGACGTATATGACACTAAGGGGAAAAGGGGAGCCGGATCAAATCTTGCCTATATATTATGATACGCATAGGGGTAGCGAGCAGCTGTACGCAGGCTATATTAGGAGTCTTTTGCTTTCTCTAGCTCGTGCATATGACTAAAGCCAGTCCCCTCCCTCCTCGAGCATCATGCTTGGCCATGGATGACGTCAGTCATGGATTAAGCTAATATTGCAAATATCTGAGCGTTTTCTTGGAAAACATTCTTATTTAGGGAAATTTATTAATGTCCACGTGGTTAAATCGGGGACTTTTTTTATGTGTATGGCATATGACAAGCTTATAAGCGAGATGAACATGCTCAGATGGTCACTTCATACATTTAGCTCCGAGAGTAACTGCTCAAAATTCAAAATGATGAATATCGCAGAAATGCCAAACTTACAGCAAGCCTTTCTCAATGGCCAGAAATACCTTGAAAATCGAAGCACTATTGTACTTGGAATCAGCCCTGGCAATCCACATTACTACAAAACAGAGACGCTAGAAAGACTGTTTTCCTTGGCTGAAAGCAATTCGGACAAGGTAGGTTTCAGGTTTAGATGATGTCCTTGCATAGACCTGAACGACAATCCTCAGGAGCTCAAGAAAGCGCAAAGCGCAAAGCGCAAAGGAGCTTATTTTAATTACTAGTAAGGCTCCAATAGTGAGTATTCTTTTTTTTTTTTTATCAGGTGCTGTTGTTTATGCCCGACAAAATCTCAGAACATAATTACAAAGCAGTTGGTTCCAAAAACCCTGAAAAATCTGCTCGAGTCAAAGCCAACAGGTTACGAAACAAATGCAAAGAGGTCATGAAGCAAATGGGCTGTGAAGAAAGAAAGTACAGTTATGTCAAGTGGGTGGAAGAAGTCGAGTCTTGTCCTGCCTACACCAAAGCTTTTCAGAATATCAAGGATCTTTGTCAACGAAACGATGAGTTTCGCTGCGATATACAAGAATCTACAGAGGCTGCTCTGATATCGATGAAGAATGGCCGTGAAAATGCATCAGGACCGACTGATACCCCAGCCATTGACCTAGAAGAAGGAGTGAAATACCTGTTAAAAGAGTTAGCATTTTTTGATGTGTTGCCTAAAATTCACAGAAACTGTGAGGAATTTGTGTTCGTGTATCATCGCCCGTGGCCTGTTTTAGAAAAGTACTGTTGTGGTTTTTATGATGGGATTGTAAAACCTTCTTTAGGATACGTTGTATTTTAGTAAACCATCATTCTGTTAATAGAACCCTCAAAAGACTCATTTGACATTTTTTAAGAAACACTTTTCTTAGGGGCCGTTCTATATTTTCAGGCGAAGGCGAGGATAAGCAACATAATTACCTGAAAGTCTTACATGTAAAGAAAATTTACTGAAGAACTGAGTCACGACGAAACACAAGCCAGTGTATGATTGATGTATTGATATACAAGAAGTGTATAGTTTATTGTCTTCCATGTACAAATAAAATACTTCTTTAAAAATTTTCCTCATTCATTTTTGTGTCAAAGAATATATAATTTAAGTGATCAAACATACAAGGCAGAAGGAAAGGAAAAAATTTGTTCAACCGCGGTAGTGGTTGTAAGGGCGGTATTGTGTAGCGGCAGTGCCTAGTAGCCAGAGCTGAGTTGTCTAATACCATGTAAATCATGGTTTAATTAAGTTTTTTCAAGTGGTTTAACTAAAGTGAGAATTACCAACAAACACAATGCAACTTTTGATGGAAAACTGCTCATGACTTTCCTTTATGTTGATTTTTGTGAAATTTTTATTTCCCAAGCTAGAAAAACTAATATCGTTGAGAATGGAGTATAATATTATATTACTGTGGTTGCTGACATACACAGTACATGCATACAAACAAAATGCTGCAAGTTCGAATCCAATACCCTCGCGTGACTTGAGCCAAACCAGGAAGTCAAGTACATTAGTTTGATGTTGTAATACGGGAGGTCATGGAACGGTCATGTGTGGAGCTCATGATCAACTCTAAATATAACCTTTGATTTGAATCAGTGCTTTCAGAGAAAGAAACATGCATCTTTTACAAAAATGTCTTACGAAACCTAAACAAAAAGATTAAGTTGTGACGTTTGTTCCAAGTTTCAGGAAAAGCGGAAATTATAAGATTGTAATACGTGTTTTCTAAGAAACCGCTAAAGAGATTTCTACTGTTGCAAAACATACTCTCGTCAGTAACTGGTCCAGCAGTTCATGATGGCATTTTCTTTGAAGGTCTATCTTTCCTGTTGGTTCCTTGGTGCTGCAGTACAGAGCGCCGTGTTCTTCAGTTTCAACGCAGTTGACTACTTCAACTTTTTCTTTCCCGATGACTATAAACCGGAAGTGTATATTGGAGTGACGGTGGGTGTAGGAGCAAGTCTTGGTGCTGTACTGACAGTCTGTTTTCCACCAAAAAAACACAACCTAAGAGTATTACTTGCCACACTGATCATCTCTGCAGTCATTCTGATCGCAGAAGTTCTTGTCACGCCATTAAGACATTTGATGAAAGATGAAACGCGATTTGGAATTCTCCTGGCCTTAGTTTTCGTGGCGACAGTAGTTCAAAACTTTGGCGGAGGAGCTCTTTATAACTTCATTGGAAAACATTTTCCAAAGTATGGAGTACACGCAGCGCAATCTGGAGGTGTCTGTGCGTTCGCAGCCACCTTCATTGTTCGATGCATCTCTAAAGGATCGTTCCAACATGAGAAGGACGTCCACCGGGGGTTTAGACTGAGTGGTTATATGTTCGTAGCACTGGTTGACTTGATCATTCTGGTTGCCTCTTGCCTTACTGTACTCTTGCGTCGACACCAAAGAGAACATAATAAGATTTTGAATTCATTTAATCGAGACACAGATCAAGATAACAGCGAGAACCAACCACTGCTGCACAGCCAGGGATCTAGTGCTATTATATCCAGAAAAACAATCATTATGGAGAATTATGGTCCACTTTTGACAATCTGCCTGACGCTGGTCATATCTAATGCTCTCTTTCCTGGAATAACGTCTCAGTTCCATGGCAAATATAACTGCARTACTTCGACTACTTCTAAGTTGAACTCCTCGGTACTAGAGGACATCCACACGCCGACACCATCGGTAACAAGCGACAAAACAGGTTGGTTTATGGTCATTCTCTTCGGCTGTTTCTCAGTTGCAGACGCCATTGGCAAGAACCTACCAATCGTTGCTATCATCTACAACAAGAGAACCGTTCTTTTTAATCTGGTAGTACAGTTGATCACAGCAGTTCCTGTCTTGTTGATCTATTTTGAGCCTTGTGTATCTCAGCTGCAAGCGAACTGGGTCGCTGATGTGACTGTTGGTCTTCTTGGGCTGGTCAATGGATATGGTCTGTGTGCCGCCATGATGCTGTTAGCACCAGGGAACCCTGGCAAGAAGAACGAGGAAGGCATGGCGACCAGTATCGGCTTCATGTTCCTTCAAGTGGGAATACTGTTTGGAATGGGAATCTCAGTATTCCTTGTCGAATATGTTTTTATGATTGCCATGCCAAGCAAAAAAATTTAGAGAAAAAGAACAGAAATTTTAATTTTTTAACAGATTTTGTGAGTTACGTCACTTTAAGGTTCAGTTCACGGCGTATTGCTTGCTTTCGATGCTGATAGCTAGCAGCAATCACGCATTTTCATTTTCTTTTACTTAAACTTCTTAAAAAGTATGTTTTAGCATTTGAAATGATAAGAAAAAAGAAAGTGAATGGAATTAACTAGAGTAATCGGATATTCCTCAAATGCACGCCAAACGTATGTGCCTATAAGACTTACTTTTGTCACAAATTTAAGGAACTCTAAGGGACTTCTCATTATTCAACGGGGGGGGTTTCGAAACATTTTGAAAGCCAACCTATATAATTAAGAAGCAAGTACATGTGTGTAAAACTTAAAGGCCAAAGATGTATTAAATTTTAATTTTAGGCCATTTCTTAAGTTTATCGATAACCTAGTCTAATTATGAGAGCCATTCTGATAGCAACTCACAGCTCTGATCCATCTTGGCAATTGCAAAAGATTGTTCAATGAATACTCAAGACTTGAAATAAGTACTGTGATTCGATCGCGAATAACTGAGAATTATATATGACTATAAATTTTTCCTTAAATATGTTACTGAATTCATGCAAACCCTTTGAACGCGGTTAGATCTGATAGCAATGTGGTTCCATGGGGTTTTATCCGCGCGCTATTATGCAACTTCAAATCGCAAACACGCGGACGCAAACAATCCAATGCTTATTTTTTTTAGAGGTTTCAAAGGAAAGATGTAGTTTTTAAATGAGCAACTTTTCATTGAAATCTATCTTTTCTTTCCTCTGCCACGGAAATTTAAAAAGTTGCGCAACAGTACTCAGAATCTTCGTGGCATTATAAGCCGTTGCGGGAACATGCTGCAGGTTTGCCACAAGAGACAATGATGGTCACTATGGTAACGTACTGGAATTGATTGACAGCTGATTTATATGGCAGCCAAGAGAAAATGAACTAAGAGAAGGAACAGATTCCCGCACGAATAACAACCGCGAATAATTCGTACGGGAGCCGTCAAAAATTCTATTGCGTGACATTTCCCGCGGAGACACTGACCCTCAGAAGAAATTTTTGACTCCCGTACGAGTAGCAAATACAAGTCGCCGTACGGGTGACGTACGAATTCCCACTACGAAACAAATAAGCTTGGCATTCATTGCTCTCTTATATGAAGTCCTTATTACAAAGTGCGACAGACTTTATTACAAAGTGCCACAGCTTTTTCTTATTACAAAGTGCGACAGCAGTTATTATTACCAAGTGCGACAGCTTTTTTATTACAAAGTGCGACAGGGTTTATTGCAAAGTGCAATTATATTATACGAATTTGGGCTGTGAGGGGCTCCATGAAATGCACTCTACGCCCGGGATATAGTCTTTTTCTCAAAACACATCATTCATTCACAAGCTAATCCTAGTATTCCTTACTCTTGCAGTTGGTTGTATCATGGAGAAATCGTTCACGAATTCGAGGCTGAAGATGATGATTCCATTTAGTGCTTTCTACGATAGGAATGTCTAAATGACTGGCAGCCGGCTTTGGTTGTTTTTTGGTATTATCACGCAGCAATCGTACGCCAAACCAAGATAGACTCATCATAGACGAAGCCACGAGCAACAAGTTTAAGACGAAGTTGAAAACATTTTATCATCTTGATCATAGTCATTCAATTTTCCTTCGAAAATCATAAGYGTCCATTTGAGAATTCAGGTTATTTTTGCAAGCTTAGCTATCTCGTACTCCTTCACACTCTTCGAGCTTCACTACAAAGATGCCCTCTCCTGTCAATGAAATCCTGTTGAAATATAATGTAATTTCTAATAGGCTTACTTTGGTGTCCTTTTGAATATTATGATCTTTGTAAAACTAGCTACTCCCGGCGTACTCCTTCACACGCTTCAGAGGTTCGCCTTCTGTTGATGTAATGAAATATTTGGTGGTGAATATGAGAGTTATAAGTTAAAGTGTTTTAACTACTACTGAGAACTGGATTAGTCTATACCTTGAGTTTTTCAGTCACGCAGAATGTACTCTTTATGATCTTTTAATATCCTTTGAGTTTTGGGAATTTTAATAGTGCCTTTATAAAGTAGTTTTTCATAGTGAAAGATTCCGGAAACGGATGAGGACTACATTACGGGCGGAGAGACACTCTACGCCCGTGTTTTAGCTTTTTTTCAAAACACACTATTTATACACATGCCAAGCTCTGTTACTACTTATCCTTCAAATTCGTTGTATCACAAAGCAATCGTACGCTATATCGAGGCTAATGAGGATCATTCGCAACCGTGTTGTTTGGGAAATTTTCTCTGGCCCCGTCTACACTATGCCGGATAAATTCGAATCCGAATTTTTATTTATTCGGTTAGGCCTACCGTCCTTTCGAAATGGAACCGAATAAATAAAAATTCGGATTCAAATTTATCCGTCATAGTACACTTTCGACAGCGTCGATAGACTAGTCTGGACTCGGCCTACCAAAGGTAGCCCGAGTAAAAATTGGCCTCAAGTTTTTCACTGGACCCTATACTTTTTTAGACTTTGACGCAATGTGTAATTTAAGTTTCTTTTTATCCAGATTTGAAATTAGCAATAGATTTGGGTTAAAAAAAATGTAGGGGTTGTAAAATAAAGGGATTGGGTTTCCTGTGGTACCAGCGAAGCCTTGGCACCAGGGGACGCACCATTTGGAAGATTTGCAGTTAATGCAATGACTAAACCAGAGATAAGTGTGGTTTCAGAATGCTGTACAGATCTGGGAGAAGGTCCGTTCTGGGACAATACTATACATAGGTGCTTATACGTTGATATACTCGGAAAAAGTATTCATCTGCTTGATCCCACCACTGGAAAGGTAAAGTTAATCACCATCGTTGATCGTCTTGTGCTGCTTATCTCCAGTGTAATATAATTTATACAGCACATCACAATATCAAAAAAACAATACCATTCTATACATTCTATAGAACGAGTCAGAATAGATATATCAGAAGAGCAGCATAAATTATATTAGAACGGAGATATCCATCAAATGATAACATAATTTAACTGTTTATTCTGATTTAACTGTTTATATCTGATTTAACTGTTCTATGCTGAAATAACCGAGAATACAATCAATAGCAATTTGAACAATGGCATTACTTGACCAAACCAATTTCTTTGATATGTTAATTTGTATTTCCTCATAAAAACAGAACTACAATTTCAAATAACAATCTAAGTTATACATGATTTAACATTTTTCAGGACCAGAAATACCAGTTTGAAGATACGATTGGAGCTGGTCAGTCATACAGGCAGTCATTTGATCGAAACCCCTTCCCTCCCCTGGACTGAGGCAGAGCTAAAAATACTTTTTTTAAAATGAAGTATTGTAGGAGCTGTACATTAATGGGGCATTGCAGTCTCTTATTTTTGGTACAATGACTTTCCATTCAGTACCACAATTGATCTTTGAGGTGGGAAGTTCACTATGTGACCCCCATGAGGGCACTGTATTGATGGAATATTGAATATCCTATAGTTATTGGATATTTCCAAGGGCGGATCCAGCCAAAATTTTAGGGGGGGGCTAATTGAGTTTAGAGGAGGGCTAATTGAGTTTCTTCCATCAACATAATGCAAAACAATTAAAAAAGCATCTAATTCTTCAGTTTTGTTTTGTTTTCTGCTGAATGGGGGCTTCAGTTCCACTTTGCCCCCCCTGGATCCACCCTTGATTTCTCATTTATCTAATATCTAAATTTATATGTCAGATACCAACATTGATATAGACGGAATATCTAATTAGCAATTAGTCCTCGATTCCAAATGGGCTATGAGTCAATAGCCCAATTGAGGGTGGGAGGACGAATCATTTTTAGTCAAATCCAACTAGTCGGTCAATTATTTAGATGCAAACAAGTGTTGAATAAAACTGATGACATATAACTTATGGTCTAATACTAGTAGCTCATCCAATCAGAACACAGCATTGATGATAGATCTTAAGTAGGCTAGTTGGATTTGACTAAAATCCCATAGTTATAGGATATTACATTATTTCTCCTTTGTCTAATATCTAGAATCTAGAATACAATATCTATACTGATATCATATAATATCTAACAAAGCCAATGGAACATCAGATATTAATTTGTTATTAGTCTAGTTTTTGAAATATGGAAATATAGCAAAAAGATTAAAACTATATAATAACATACTTTTTCACTCGAGGAACAACAGGAAAATAAAATTAGCACATCACTTCGCAATTTAGTGCAATATCGGTTTTTCAAGTCAAATTCAACCTGCAATAGTTTTTAAAGCAACACACTCCTGCATGCTATATGAGTTCTGAAACTTTATCTATTATTAAAATTACAGCTGTTATGAGAAAAAAAGGAGGCTCTGTACTTCTGACAAGTGGATTGAAGATAATATTCTTAGATTTGGAAGTGAGTGTCCAGAACTTAATTCAGGAGCAAATGATATTTTATGACATTCTTTCAAAAACTGATGAATAATTCATGAGCATTTGAACCAATTGGAGCGACCATACACGTCAAGTGCATGGACCTTTAAACCCCATAAAGTCTCATCCTCATTAGTATTCTTTACAAAAAGAATACTAATATGGACAACCTTATCAAAATAAATATTAAAGGTGCATCCAAGTTTAGATGAAGACTTAGAGCCTCATCAAGGTCAGTCTCACGTACGATCATTGACGACCTACAAATTATCGTCGTCTAGTGCCCCAGTCTTGAGTTCGGCATGTTGTCTTCAACTTGTGGGAGCCTTTTTTGCGCTTAAACCTGATAAAACACTCCTGCTCRTTTATTAAACAGTACTTATAATCATTTCATTGCCTCAAAGATGAAAGTTCCAGAGTGCATTTTAAAGAACTATTCATGAATAATTTCATGTTAGCTCCATTAATTTTTGTCTTTGCTATATGATCATGTTAACAGCTGCAGTAATGCATTTTTTTTTGTCTTTGCATGCAGACTCAAAAACAGGAAACTGTGGCTACTGTTGATGGTAAGCTGTATTATTTCTTTACCAGTTATAAATAAATAATGTTTGTTCCAATTAAGTTAACAAAATGCCTTGTATTTGCATGCTAGYCCAAGCCCATTGATGCATGTTCCAATGTGAAAGATTTAAGATAATTATGAAGATGTGATGTAAATGCCTGTTATCATTAATTTATTAGTTATTGTGTTTCAATTTTGGTTTTTCTACATATTAAACAGGTGATAAGCCCCATAATCGTTTCAATGATGGAAAATGTGATCCTGTAAGTAAATAAAGTTATTTCCATAATTCAGCATAAAAATTAGTATATAAATATATATAGTAGGGGGGGTTGAAAAGGTCTGCTGATTTTGCAAATTGTTGTATGGATTGTTGGATGCAAAGTAAAATCTTAACAGATTGGCAGATCCTAGCTGCAAATGAAGGTGATTGCAGATTTGTTCTTCTTTGGTTTGGTCCAGATTTTACTTGTTATAGAGTTTGGATTTCAGATGTAAACACTTTTCAGAAATATTTTTCCTTTTTTTTTAGCCAAGACTAAAATACGAGGCACTCACTGACAAATTATTGCAGATTTGGTTTTGAGCAATTTTTTTTGCAGTCTGATGACTATTGCACTGATAGATGGATTCAGGCATCAATTTTAACAGCATTGATGGATTTGCATTACACTTTTAATACCCCATTCTGTGATGGGTCCATTCTGTAAACCAGGGGTGTGAACTAATCAGAAAAATTATCATGCAGTCAACTGCTTCATAAGCCCTTAATTTGGTCCAGTCATGTAGACTTGAGTTGGCCAAAAATTATCAAAATTATAGAGTTTGTACGTGGAAGAAAATTGGAAGTTCCTGGGGTAGGGGTCCTCTTACAAATTCCCTCCATGTGGGGTTATGGATATTTTCTGGAGCTACAAATTAGTAAAATATCTATTTAATGGGTTTAGTGACTTCACTTTAAGACATGTTATAATGTCTAGAAACTGGTATACCAGTATGTGGTATAGTGGTATACTAAGGTCATTTTCTGTTGTCCTTCTGTTTTTTAGGCTGGCAGATTTTGGAGTGGTAAGCTATTGTGATTTCTTCATGTATTGGCTTACATACAGTTATTGAGCTGCKAAAAAGGATTTCATATCAGGACAACTAACACCTTGGGTTACTAAATAGATTGACCAATTAATGCATTTCCTGCGGATTTGGCTGGAACTTTTATGGCCATGCAACCCCTCTAATCCCCCTGCCCCCGGCTCTGGCACTCTTGATCACGATGCAGCTATATTTTATATGAAGTGTTTCAAAATTTAATTCTTTACCTAGGAACAATGGGCCCTGAACCAAGACCTGTTGAAGTTGTACCTGAACAAGGAACTCTTGTAAGTTAAACCAGCTATATAGTATATTCTATACTTAGCCTCTGTACACGTATAGTCGAACATAAATGTGGGTTAAACCTGAGAATTAAAGTTGGGCTGCACACAGGCTAATCAAATACTGACTGACAAATCTTTGGAAATATTTTTTCCCCAGTACTCTTTTGATAAAAATCATAAAGTACAAAGTCATTTCAACAAGGTAAAATATATTGCTGAGTTCTGATTTAACAAGTTATAAATTCTACCAACACTGCATTAAAATTTTTGAATTAAATCTGTTGACAGATTACCATTTCAAATGGACTGGCGTGGAGTCCTGAYGATAAAACATTTTATTTTGTGGATTCATTCCTAGGGTAATTAATTGTTTACTTTTTCAATAATAGARTGCACACACTAAACCTGTGAATAATATTTAGTACTAATTAGTAGTAATTCATACAGAATCCTTTGTTTCCTATTGTATGATTATCACTATTAATAGTACTTAAAATTAGTATTTGTTTCACGGGTTTAGTGCGAGCACTCTACTGTTTATACTAATCCAAGGAGTAGTTTGTATTTTGCTATGTTATGGTTTTGAAGTAATATTAAAATGAGGGAGAGGGGGATTTTGTTTGCACCTTTAAACTATATCCCTACCGAATTGGGCCTGTAAAAAATAATTTTACTAAAATATAATCACTAAGCTAAATAGCACTGAAGAAACAGAGAACATTGCACTATCTTGCACTATTTAGTACCACCATAATTGGAGCAAACAATATATATTTAATTTATCAGCTATTGCCTATATTGAAATCCAACAATGGACTGTTTTCAGATTTGGCACATGGTTAGATTTCTATTTTTTACTTGCATCCAAAGGCTTTTTAATTGAAATCCTTTTATTTTTATAATTTTACACAGATGTGTATATGCATTTGATTATGATTTAGCTTCTGGAAGCATTGACAATAAAAGAGTAGCTATACAAATAGATCCTTCTCATGGAGTAAGTAACAATGTTTTTGGATATGAATAAGAATATATAGAAAGTACACTTAACTGGGTGCTGTGGGTGCTGTCATAAAGCACATATCCCCACACAATTGCAGAACAAAGTAACACATATAACCACAATTATATTTTATAATTCTTATTGATTCACATTAATGATTTTAGGTGCCAGATGGGATTACAGTAGATGTTGATGGGATGTTATGGATAGCAATGTACAATGGTGGTAAAGTGAGTTAATTTCCTGCTTCTTAATTTATTACTGGGTTGCCTGGACATGTGGCAGCCCAGTTGTAAAATGTCTTTTTTTGTCTTCTCCATCTTGCRAAAAGTGCATTGTCGTACAAGAGTACCCATATATGGATTTGAATGATGTGTTCATAGATTCTGGCCTCATAGATTGGCTTACAGMTGAGGCTGTAACTCCGGGCTTTAGAAGTAGTATAATTGAGCATATATTGATTAGTATTATTACAGCTATTCAGTTGGCAGTATTCTTGCTTCATTCAGGTGGGTTAGTAGAGCCTAAATGAAATACGACTTTCAGTCTTTTCTTTAAGTTAAAAAGACATATACACATGAATCTACCTTTAAATACTACCCGGTAATAGAACTTGGSCGGAAGTACTTTTCGCTAAGTTTTGAATCCTTTTTCATTTCACAAATTCACTGCCAGTTAGGATATTTAAAAAAAACGATATATTGAGAATAAGAATATGATCAATAATGGAGAGATCCTGAACTTCAGAACTGTTAATAAATTACAAAAGACCATTTAAACACATTTCTAAATTAATTTAGAGTTAATGACAAGTCTTAGTCAGGTCAAAGTCAGGTCAAGATGCTTGTGTAATTCAAGATGGAGARTATGATAAAACTTAGTGTTGTCAATAACGCAGCATTGTTTTCTGTTTACAAAACCACATCAGTAGTATTCGGAAGTTCTGGAAGAAATATRTATACACCTAAAAGGTTCCAAAGCACCCCCTCTCTCCAAATAGTGGTACATAACAAAGATTAGGTGTTAAATGAGCTGCAGCATACCTGCATGTTTGTCAACCCAGTGCATGCTCCAAGAGAATCTTATTGCTGTGATGTCTTTAACTATTATACAACAGATTTTGGTAATATACCTGTGACAGATTGCACCGTCTGAAGATAGTCTTTATGCTGTATTCAARCATTCTGATTGGGTCATTATAAATAGTATTTTTTTCCTGTAATTACATAGTTCAGTGCAAAAAGTGCACAAAATTCACATGAAAGGGAATTAAAGTGACGCACGAAATTCACAGCTAAATATATTTTGTATGCATGGAAAATTTCCCAAAATATCATGAAGAATTATTGTCCAGGCAAACTGCATTGTCAGTGGTACTTTTTCAGGCCCCTGCTATCATCTGGTGCTGGTCTCAAWAGACCCCTTCATGGTTCCCTGCGCTATCTTGAAATGTAGCCTGCCTTTGCATTGAAGCGAGACGAACGGTGAGCTTTCAATGATAGACCTTTTTTTAACACCTTGAACAATTATTCACATGTCCCTATCATTGCAAGCTCACCGTTCGTCTCRCTGCGATGCAAAGGCACGGCTACATTTCAAGATGGTGCAGGGAACCGTGAAGGGGTCTATTTGTSATGTAAAATTTTGATAGTTCATTTATGTATATTTATGTCTAGGTTGCTCGTTATAATCCTACAACTGGAAATGTGATTACAACAGTGAACTTTCCTGTTACCAAGACAACATCTGTTTGTTGGGCTGGTCCTAACTACGATGAACTGCTGGTCACTAGTGAAAGGTAAGTTGTTCAATAAACTTTCAGTATTTTGAAAATGTCAAAAGGAACTATTAAAAAGTAATGGTTTGTATATATATATATATACACACTCGATTGCAGAAA